CACGCACAGTGAATTCGCCATCTTAATTGTGTGGCTGCTCAGTGAATCAGGTCTAATTTTTTGGTTATTTTTGTTGTTTTATCATCATCACTCGTTTCTTATTACTTCGTTGTTATTGCATACTGTTATCAATACTATCATTCCAGTTATTATTATCATTACCATTGTTACGACCATTATTATTTCTGTTACTTTATTACTATATTTACCTTTTCATTTGTTACTGTATCAGTAATATTAATTTCCATGAAGCGGATCAGTTTCTAACCCAGGTGTTATTTTCAGCAAATCAATTCAACAGCAATGCAGAGATTGATCCAAAATTATGTAATACGTTGGCCGCGATTCGGGAGTCTACGTTCTGCGCGGCGGATGCTTATTATCAGAACGCAAATGTGGGAAGTTGCGCTGGGCGAGTTGCATCGCTTGTCAACATCGCTTTTCATATCAAGGTTAATTTTGTGTTATTTGAAGTTCGGTTATTATTATTATGGCTGCAATCATTACTATCAGTATCATTTATTCAGTTCGATATTAAAACAACTCATTGCAAACAAATGCCTCTTCATTATCATGAAATATCACATCGATCGCATTTTTCTTCCATTGGTATCCTTTTCTGAATGCTCCCTGTTCGTGTTGTTGATCGGTACTGTTCGTCTTCCTGATCGCCACTGTTCGTCTTCCTGATCGCCACTGTTTGTTTTGCTGATGCCACTGTTTGTGGTTTTGGTTGGGACCGCTTGTGTTGTTAGCTGTGTTGCTGGTGCGAAAGCGANGAAACAATGGTTACGAATTGCCAATGATGGTGAGAGAACACATGATATGCAAAGCACTATAGACAGACATACAAGAAACCGTAAACAATAAACAAATGATCACCGGTTTATCACAACATGATCCTTCACTCCCGATGGTAATGCATAATTTTTAAATTATTCCGGAGCTCGTCTCAACTAATCACTTGGTGATGTGAGAAGTATTACAACTGCTCTCTTTTGTCTATGTGATTGCTTGGGGCGCGAGCGATGAGTACAAATAAATGTTCAATATTATATTATGAATACTATTGTCACACATTCTCATTTCCTTTGATATTGTTATTATTGTAATGTTTTTTGAAACACCATGACCATTATCATTTTTATCGTTGTGTTAATTAATATCTTCCTCGCTATGGTAAGCATGATTGTTATACTAATCCAATTGGTATCGCTATCCATGAGGATCATGGATATCACAGTTGTCGTATTCGTTATTGCAGCTATCGTAGATGTTGATAAGATAACACTCGTAGTAAACAATTCATTCGGATCGTTTTCAGCTGTTACGTGAACGTTTTCGTGAAGCGATGAAAATCGTGCCGTTGGTGAATGTCTTCGAAGCAGATCCATTCCTGTGAGAATGAACGTCCACCCCACTCAATTTATTGTTCATATATTTCAATTAGTTATTTTCTTTAATCTTTTTTATCAAATTTTATCAGTTCAACCGTATTGCTGTAGCTGCTTCCACATCGTTTTCTTCATCATTCGGTATAATTCGTCGTTTTTTACTTCGT